GGAAAGAGCTCCCTGAGTGGAGGGCCCGTCTATTCTGTTTACTGCTCTAATCCCATGGCCAGAACAGTGCCTGGAACACAGGAGGCTCTCAAGGAGTATCTACCAAATGAAACAGGGCAAACATAAACCAAGGATTATAACCAGGCTCAGAACTGAGCCCCTCCGGCCCCCCATCCATTTTCAGGCTCCCTACCAAACAAGCCGTGGCTAGAGATTTTAAAATGTTAATGTACCAGAAAATAGCTGGTCCAGTTACCTAAACAGGCTAATGGGTTCATCTGTTTAGAGATCTTAATGACAAATGTCATAATTGAAGATAAGTCTTCTGAACTCAAAATGGACAAGCCTGCTGACTACAGGGACAGGGTTCCCCTGTGCCAGGTCACAAGCCCAGTAGAAAGCAAATGTGTGTCAGTGATGAAGAGCTAATTTGCAAAAGTGAATGCTTGAAAGTGACTTCAAAGGAACTCCTTCTAGTCCTCTTCCTACCTAGACTTAAACAGAGATAATATTTTCATATTCTATCCTATGAATATGCATTATTTCTTGTTATGTGTTGTTTGTCCTACAGGACTTCAAGTTTATTCGTGGCAGGGACTGAAATCCCTTATTTTCTATCTGCCAGTGCTTAAAATGGTGTATACATATAAAAAGCTTTGCTCAGTCTCATCTCCCACCATTCACATCCTGCTCATGTGGAACTTGCTGTATCTAGAAGTTGATGCCACACCCTTTCCTGCAGCTGCAGCAAGAATGCAGCATGGCACAGCTGTTCGGAGCAAGGGCTCCAGAATCAAAATGCCTGGGTTCGAATACTGGCCCCACTTCATATTAGCTGTGCAATCTCTCTTGACATCATAATGGTAACCTACCTGAGCTGTAAGGTGGCAAGAGGGCAATGCATGTAAAGCACTTAATAATGCCACACACATGAAAGGTACTCACTGAATATCAGATCTATAATTCTCACTATAATTATAGCAGGCACAGTACAAATGTTATCAAATTTGGATAACCATTTCATATGCTGCCACAAATAGTACCACATATACCCCTCTTTAAATTCAATCTAACTTAAACTTGAAACCTGAATCCATCACACTTTAGCCTTAATATACTATTTCATTTTACTTACGCTTCCAGAATCAATTTTTCCTGGAGATGGATTCAATACATACTGGGCTCTAATTGAAGGAATCTGGTTATCTGCTTAAGGAACCAGAATAGCTTCTTCCCTAAGACCCCAACCCTGCCAGTACCTTACCTTCCTTATCTCTGTATGCTCTCCACCTCTGTAAGTTCAGACTTTGAGGGACCCCCATGGATGAGGGGCAGAGAACTTGTCTTTTAGTAACCGCACCAAGACTGGCTCTCCCTGTCAGTTAAGTTCTTGCCTGTCATGCTCCCTGACACCCTCTAGAGGGCAGAAGAGGGAAAGGCCCAAAGGCTGAGCAGGCAGGGCTCTCACACTGGGTTCCAATTTGGACCCTGGCCAGAGAGTCTTTGGTTCCACAGTTTATAGTTTCACCATGAATAACCAGACTGCACAGAATGATAAAAATGTACAGCGAGATTTTAACAGCTTTTTTAGTTCTGTTTCACTTTACTGTCTGTGCTAGTGTGTCTCACTTATTAACATTTAGTTGGAGTTGGGAGGATGAAGACACATAGCAGGTAGAGTTATGTGTATTTTTGAATCTGCAGCGTGTAACTGTGCCTCTGACCAGATGTAATACAAACTGTGTTGATGATATTGCGCAAGAATAAAAACAGAACAGCAGCCAAACACACTGGGTAAAATGTGATGACAGCGAAGTAATCCAAAATAAAACCCAAACACTTTAGGGTCAGTCATACTTAAAAATAAATCATGTTAATCTTATCCCACCCTGACAGAATTAATAAGTAAAATTAGACAAACCATTTACATCATTCCAGAAGAAGCCAGTAGCTATGTTCTTGTGACATTTAACATACACAATCATTCTCCTTCAGGTTTAACAATAGTATTGTGGTCACAGACACTGGAGAGTCTATTACTACTGTCAGCCAAGCTTAAATGATCCCCAAATCACCAATTGGGTGAATTGTGTGGAAAAATAAAATCCAGAGACAGCAGCTGTTTGAATGAGCCTAAAAGACCAGCTGAATCAATCAAAATGGATGAGCCCCACAGATTCATTGTCTCCTCTAAATTCTTTAAATGTGATTGTCATGGTAACCGTTCCTTAATCATGTCGTTCAGAATATTCTCTCCCACCTAAGAAACCAAAGAGCGGTGAGCCCCAAATATCTTCTTAATTAGGTACACTTGTGATGGTAACAGGCAGCTTAGACTTCTCAATTATTCTACTTTTATTCAAATGCTTACACTACTATGATAGTCAGAAACATTGGTGTATGCAGCATTCGAAAAACATTTTAAATGTTATCATAAAACATAATAAATACAAGTGAGATGGTCACTGGCTCACTTCTTTTAGCATAAGAACTAATAAACTGGTTCTCATTCAGCAAAATAATTTACTGCTATAAATAAATGGTTCAGATGAAAGATGTCTCATTTTTAATAATTTCGACATAATCAAGATCTGCAAAATAATCATATCTTTAACAATATCTTAAATTAATAAAAACAAAAGGATATTACATTATAGAGATATAATAAGATCTAATTTTGTTTCCTTATATTAAGATTTAATATAAAGTATATCTGGTGATGTGTATCTCATGATATACTCTATACTACATCTAGAAGGTCATTTATTCTGCACTATTTTCTACATTTATTTTATATAGTATAATCATAATATTCTTCATGATTTGGAAGAGAAAGGTTTTTATCTTTATTCAGTTTGGGAAAAGACAGGTTATATTTTTAAAAGGTATCTACTAGATGTACACTACATGTTTAAAGTTGTGATCACTCTAGATTTTGCTCTAGATTTTTACAGTTCCTTCAAAAAACTAAAATGTGCAGTGCTTTACCAAAGTTACAGTGGTTAGCCATTTTTAAACCTTGCTCTGGAATATAGGTAATCCTTCAAAACATCGAATTTGCTTTATAGGTTTCTAAACTAGTAAATAAAAAGTGTCTTTCTTCTCCAATATGACACAACCTATAAACGCACTAAAGATGGAAAGATAAGCAGTGCCCCCACCATGCCCCAACTAAACACTCAGGAACTCTTTTTTTATGGGCCACTTCTGGATGTAAATTTAAATAATTTTTGGTCATAAAAGGGTAATAATAAAAATATATTTATTTTTGACTGGAGTATTAAAACATTGAGACTACTTTTGCAACAAAAGCAAAAATAAATAAGTGAGACTACATCATACTAAAAGCTTCTGCACAGCAAAGGAAAACATCAATAAAATAAAAAGGCAACTACTAAATGGGAGAAAATCTTTGCAAATCATATATCTCTTACCTTATCATGTATCAGATCATATATGATAAAGGACTAATATTCAAAATAAATGAAGAATTCATACAATTCAATGGCAAAATAAAAAAAAAAAAAAAAAGAAAATCAATCTGATTAAAAAATAGGCCAAAGGTCTGAATAGACATTTTTCCAAAAAGACATACAGATGGCCCACAGGTACATAAAAAGATGCTCAACATCACTAATCATTGGGGAAATGCAAATCAAAACCACAATGAGAAATCACCTCACACCTGTCAGAATGGTCATCATCAATAAATCAACAAACAGCAGTGCTGGTGAGGATGTGGAGGAAAGGGAGCCCGTGTGCATCACTGATGGAAGTGTAAACTGGTGGAGCCACTATAGAAAACAGTTTGGAGGGTGCTCAAAAAAAATAGAACTATCATATGATATAGCTATTCTACTTCTGGGTATTTATCCAAAGAAACACACTAACTTGAAAAGATATATGTACCCCTATGTTCACTTAAGCATTATTTACAATAGCCAAGATATAGAAACAACCTGTGTCCATCGATGGATAAATGGATAAAGAAATTGTGATACAATACATAATAGAATATTATTCGACCATAAAAAAGAACAAAATCTTGCCATTTTCAACAACATGGATGGACTGCGAAGGCATTATGCTAAACAAAATTAGTCAGATAAACACAAATACCATATGATCTCTCTTGTATGTGTAATCTAAAATAAAACAAAACAAAACAACAACAAAA